TGATTTCTTTAAATTAATAAATCTCTAAATTCTACGAAATTAAAATGTCTCAACAACTATCTTCTTCTTCCAAAAAACGTGAAAAGTTTTTGAAACTACTTTTAATTTTCTTCTTACTACAAGCATATATAGAAGGATTGAGGCATGCATTTCTAGTGGTGGATGGCCAACTCGATATTAATATTAAACTTTATTAATACAAATAAATATTTTGTTGATCATCATCATTTTCATCGAGTTTCGGATTTTTTTTAATTAGACGTTTTAAGAATACCAAAATTTACATATATATTTATCAAAACCTAAACTACATTTGATAAAATTTTATGTATAGTTATTATGTGTAGTTTTGCGCAATCAGTAAAAACCAGGTGTCCGAAAACTTTTGTCTAGGGTGTGTATATTTCAATGGGTCATTGATAGAGCATAAAAAAAACAAAGAAAAAACATAGGTTAGTAGTAACATTTCAAAACAATAATATATATGTCACTCAAACAAACAAAAAAATAAATAAACGAATGGAATAAATGGAAAATAATTTGTGTATTTTTTTACGCAATTTGTTCAATTTGTTCGTTACCTTCCCCTTCGTTGAATTTGGATAATTCTTTTTATCCGCCTCCAACACTTCTATAATTTTGATCCCTGAAATCTTTTGGTATATAGTGCGATGTTCACTTGCAAGCATATCCCCATATTAATATATATAACTTTTTGAAATTTCGGCCTATTATATTAATATATTAATTAATATGCTATTATTGGTCAAAAAGTTCAAACAATTCTATTTTGGCTGCTAGTAAAATCAAATATTAATTTCATTTCAGTTTCATCATTATTAATATTAATATTAAGAGAAGCAATTTCGGATAACATACTAATACATATTAATATTCTTAAAAATTCTTGAATCAAGATCCACCGCATTCTTTAGCTTGCTAATTAATATAATTAATATTAAAATATTGACACATGAATAATAATTCTTTATAAAATAAACAGATTGATTGAATATACCTTAAGTGCTATATCTATCTTTTCTTTAGGCATATTTGTACAAGTAAGATGCATCATTGTTTCCAAACCATAAACTGATTGTGCAGTTGCTACAATTTCAGAAGTGAGTTTTGAAGAAGTACCCCCAGCATTCCACGTAACATCAACAAATTCGGGGCCTAAATAATACATTCTTTCCATACGATCATAAAGATTTTGTACCCCCTATCAAATTTAAAAATGAAATGGTAGTAATTATTAGAATGATGGTTATTTTTCTTTCTCTTTGATCGATTTTTCAAATTTTTTAATAAAATTAAGAATTATTTAAATATTTTTTTACTATATAAACTTGATAAGTAAGTTTTGATAGC